AGGTTTAGGGGTATGGCAATGACTATATTTAGTATCAGTGTGCAGTAACTACATGTAGATCAAGCTTAAATTCGGTTAACATGCCGATTCTGGATAAATATCCGTTTTCAATACTATTTTTCGTTTCCGGTTAAAATTGAAGTTGAGATGGGGATTTTGGTTTCGGTTTCGGTTTTTAGGAAAAAGACAAAACTATAAACCTCAACGGGCCATTTATCTCGTCTCTAAAGGGTTTACATCATGCCACTTTAAGCGCATATTTTCTAACACACTGTTGTTATCTATTGTCTAAATCAGCCTTGGTCTTAAAGTTACAATAACTAAATTTTTGCTCTTTTATTTTGCTCTTTTATTTTAAAAATAAAAAAATGTTTTATCGCTATTTTAGGATCCCAGATTTCTTTACAAACATATTTTTGTGCTGTAGCCAGCTATAAAACTAGAACTAAAACCTGTTACTCGGTGACTAATATCATATATACGGGCATTTTGGCCTTTTGTTAAACTTGTTCTATTGAATTGTATAAACCGCTTCCAACCGCGTTCAACAGTAATTTACAACTGTTAAATCACACTGAGCGCTGGTCGAGTGGTAGCTCACAGATTTGCTATTTCGAGGGGTCTAAAGTTCGATTAGTCGGCCTCATAAACCAATGATGAATAGAATGTCCGCTGTTTTCTTCTTCACAGTCGCGGCCAGACCTGTTTATCAGGGATGCTCCCCATAGAACCGGACATCCCCAACACAGGAGACCAGCTGCTGGGGCAGATGTACACACCAGATCAGCAGTGTCAACTTGTGTTTGGTCCTACGTCGGATCTTTGCCAGGTAAGAAACGTTCACAAACATCCCATCACATTAAATCCAGAAGTAGTATTTTTTGCACCAACTTCTGATAATACCCCTAATATCCAACACCACAGTAATTTGATCTTCCCAAGGCTAATGGTATTATATTATTAACGACTATCAAATACTTACGTCAATGCTTTTTTATAGTATTTTTATTTTTCTTCTTTCGGTGTCAAATTTCCAAAGAAAACCTAATTTTCGGGTTACGGTTCAGGGGGCAGGGGCAAATTGTGCAGAGGGAGGGGCTAATTATGCAGGGGGAGGGGGCTAATTGTGCAGATGAAGGAGTTAGTTGTAGATAGATATATATTCAGGAGGTCATTGGCTAGACACCATGCTAGTCATATACCTAATCCAATATCGCATAAAACATACACACATAAGATTGGTAAAATATTTTTAAAAAATGTAGTGAATGTAAGCATGCATTGTGGACGACCATATCGTCTTTTAAAATTTAACATGTTATCTAGCAGTAGAAACAAACATCGGAAAACGAAATTTACACATTATTGCACATTACATAGCCAATGATTATATTTTGAAGTTTGTGCAAAAACTTAAATACATGTGTTGCTAATGTGAAAAGTCCCGAGTTCGGATCACCGGACACATGGGACTCGATATTTGGGGACGGCAACCAATTTAAGATGTATTAGTTTAAAATAGAACATAGGCTGCTGAAAGTCTTAAGCAGAAAGATTCTTGTGCGTCTTTCTCTAATTATCCCTATTGGTAACTTATCCTTTTCCAATACGAGTGTCAAGATTTTTCTTGGCCTGTTTCCTATTCTGTTGTTCTTGTGAAACCATGTGAGCGTATGTTTTGCTATGCTGGTCGTCAGTTTCCCGATTTTGTATGTACTTTTTTTTTTATCCAGGGCTTTTACAGAACAGAGCCTGAGAAAATCTGCCGTGATATGTACTGCCGAGATCCTGACGACCCAGACATGTGTATTCCCGTACAGACTGCCAGAGGTACCACATGTGGAGACAGAAAGGTGAGTAATACAAAGGCAGTCTAAATACAAATGTACCTTTTCCAACCTAAGAGTCACCAGTTTCTGTGACCTAGGCATTTGAAGGAATAATGAGATCAGCATTATGCCCTGCCCCATTAATTTTACAAAAAGGGAGTCAATATATATAACTTATAACAAAGTGTAATAAACAGGGAGTGATCTCCCCTAAACTTTCCCGAATATTCTCATATAACACTACGGTGGATGGCAACTTGGGAAATAGACATGATTTTTTATCCATTTTTAATTGCTTAAACTTTTAAAAATAGAATACAATCTCGTAGAAAAGGAATTGCGCACTAAGTGAATGGCAAGCAATATGTGTATAATAGAACAGAATATTATTAGTACCTTATAAATTCATGTACGTTTTTTTGAGAAATCGGAAATAGCGTAAATTACTACTTCCGTTCAACGTAAATTACTCAAAATTTGAAAGAAGACAGAACATTTCATCTTTTACTTACATGTGAAATTTCATGTATCTATCTGAAACAGTTCGCAAGTTATAGGTTTTGAAAAAACTAAAAGTAGAATAAGTTCCACTTCCGGTTACCGGAAATCGCCGAAAACTTCATGCAGAACTTCAAATTAGATATAATACTTAAATGAAATTTCATAAACCTAGCTGTAAAGGTAAAGTTAAAGTGTTCACAGACACACACAGATACACACATATATATATATATATATATATATATATATATATATATATATATATATATATATATATATATATATATATATATATATATATACCCACAGACATTCGGACAAAATTGCTAAACTATGTTTTTATGACTCAGGGAGGTGTAAAACGTCGAGATTTTTGAAAATCTCGATTTCGATTTTTTGCACGATTACAATACTTTCGCTATTCTTAGTATACGAGAAAGTAAAAAGAATCCTTAATTGACTAGGTAATTAATACTGATAGAAGTTAACAAACAAATTAACTAGAAGACTAATACTGATAAGGTAAAGAAGGAATTCGAGTAAACTTTTTTCAGATTTGTGAAAACGGACATTGTGTGCCCCATGCCGATGCACCTCGAATTGACGGTAAGTTAAAAAAATATTGTGCTACTGTTACATGCTTTATAGTAGTGTTCCATCTTAGGATATTATTGAATGTATCCATATTGAATGTTTGAAAATACGCTTTTGAAAGAAACATTAATTTTTCTATTTGCTTCTAATTGATCTATTAATAAATGTATCTTAAAAAGGTCAAAGTATAGTGAACATATGGTTAAATTTCTCTAAAAATAACTTTGTTTTAATTTACCCTTTTTAAACTAAACTTAAAATTATCCGTTCTCCATTTAAGATGTTACTTAAACGGCGTTAAAGTTTTTGATAGTGAATAAAATGAATAAGTAAGTTATTTTAGTTTATAATTACTCCGATTGTTGTAGCGATTTTTTTTCGATAAACCTAAAACATAATTATGTTAATAGTTTTTCATGTGCTTTGCTATTTACTTCAATTTTAAATTCCCAGCCCTTGTTTTTTTTTTATATTAAATACTCTATAGATCCCTGACCACTGTAAACAATGTGAATGTAAATCTACTTTTCAGTGACGTGTATGTACGGTGACCACCATGGTAGGATTGGAAATTTCTCCTCATGCCACGCTATTGTGGATCATTTCATCGGATTTTGTTACCAAGACTCAGTGCGTGACTTTTGTTGCGGCTCCTGTAAGGCAGTTAAAAGAACAGTTCCGGGTAATAGTATATCAGTCTACCTAATTCCGTATCATAAATCATGCTAAACTTCCAAAATGGTACTGTGTGGTCAAATATAGAAAGCTTTTAGTTGCTAGTTCGAATTTCAGTCCGAACTCGAGACTGTAAGACATCATCGGGTCCACCTAGCTGTGATTTGTACAACGTTGGGTAAGTAAAAACAAAAAACTAGGCATATTGCTGACCACATCATCTCTTCATATGCTTAGATAAAAAAATATATAAATTCCACTTAATCTGCCCTGTGAATCATTAGATCAGTAAGAGAAATTTTAATTAAAGTTGCTTCATAGAAACTGAAAAAAGTATACATTCAATCTCAAGCAGCTTGTCTTACCTAATTTTAAAATATTTCTGAATTCAACATCAGGTTGTGAATTCGGTGATCACTATTCAAATTGTAAAGAGGAATACTGCTTCAACCCCGATTGGCGAGCGGATTGTTGTGAAACGTGTAAAATTGGAGTTACTTCTACTACACGAAGTACATCAACGGCTCGACCTACAACTACACAAAGTACATCAACGGCTCGTCCTACAACAACTACACAAAGTACATCAACGTCTCGTCCTACAACAACTACACAAAGTACATCAACGTCTCGTCCTACAACAACTACGAGAAGTACATCAACGTCTCCTCCTACAACAACTACACTAAGTACATCAACGTCTCCTCCTACAACAACTACGAGAAGTACATCAACGTCTCCTCCTACAACAACTACGAGAAGTACATCAACGTCTCGTCCTACAACAACTACACAAAGTACATCAACGTCTCCTCCTACAACAACTACACAAAGTACATCAACGTCTCCTCCTACAACAACTACGAGAAGTACATCAACGTCTCCTCCTACAACAACTACGAGAAGTACATCAACGTCTCCTCCTACAACAACTACAACAACTACACAAAGTACATCAACGTCTCGTCCTACAACAACTACACAAAGTACATCAACGGCTCGTCCTACAACAACTACAACAACTACACAAAGTACATCAACGTCTCCTCCTACAACAACTACGAGAAGTACATCAACGTCTCCTCCTACAACAACTAATAGTTAGTTAAAGATCTTCTTCCTAACTGATTCAAAACACTCACACACTCACACACTCGCACGAACACGCTTACACATTCACTAACTCACAAACACATGTATATGTATATACGTATACGTAAGCAATATATAAATATACATATATTGATAGATTAGTATATATGAATTTGTGCATATTTGAATAGAAATATAATAATTTTTAGAATAAAAAAAACATTTTTTTATTAAACGGACTCCACAATAGCAAGATAATTTACTTTGGCAAGGGTTCTTCTATAATTTTTGTACGTATAGTAAATATCAATGGGTTTGTAGGAGAAAGATTGTGGTAGGCGGGTTTGCAAGTTTTTGCAGTGGTACTACAAAGCATCTCTGAGGGATTAACTTAAACTAATTTTCACTAACATAAACACCCATACTCATACCCACACCTACACTTAAACATATCTATATCTATGAATATTCATGAGCATGTCATTTCTGCTATAAGTTTTAAAGAGTATTAAGAGAATGTACCATGACTATAATTTTGTTTTACAGCAGCTGAACGATGCACGGACGATACAACATACACCAATGGTGGCAGACAGTGTTCGTCCATAATTCAGAACTCACTTTACTTGTGTTACGAGCAGGAGGTCAAGGACGCTTGTTGCAAGTCATGTCAACAGGTCAACACGACCGTTGCAGGTTAGCTGGTTCTTTTTTTGTTTTTGTTTATTGTGATGTCGAAGCGCAAACGTTATTCTAGATTGGATCGTTTGTTTAGAATTGTAAATATATAGCGCACTTTTATAGTTTCTCAAAGCAAAAGAGCAGAAGGGGCAACGATTTGCTTGATTTAATAACGTAATTTGGTTTTGTTGGTTCAATGTCCCAAAAGGTGAGAAAATAAATAATAATTTTGATTAGATCACAAATATAATATAATTTAAATTTGTTTAAATCCCTTAGAATAATTGTAAATAATAAAATTCATAAATATGATTGAAAAATAATTCATTGAAGTCTCGTATTTTAAAATATTAAAATGATTTTGAATATTGTCAACGTAGTGGAACCCATAATGTCATTAAAATTAATATAGGGTTTTATAAAACGAAATAATTAGTTCTACTTTTGAACTAAGGAACTTGAATTCGATCTGTGCCCAGCGTTGGTTGCAGCATCATAATTTTTAATTCACACAGGAAATTAAACACCTTGATTAAGAAAAATGTAAAGACTCTATTACGGACAGCTATTATCATGCTGCATAATGGGACTGCACGATCGAAGAGGTAGAACATTTTGCTGCTGGCGCAAAGTTCCGAGTTCGCACCTCAGCCCGAAATCGGGATTGCAGGATGTCTTTTGGTCCACAATGCTGTGATGAGTACCCGACTGACGTTGGAGAAATAAAAGAACCTACGCATATTTCTGACCGCAGCATCCCTTCATATGCTGAGAAGAAGAAACATAAACTCTACTTTTTGTGCTTTATGTATTGATATATTAGAGGAACTTTACTTAAAGCTGTTTTAAAGAAAATGAAAAAAAGTGTACATTCTTTCTCCTGCAGCTTGTCTTATCTAATTTTAAAATATTTCTGATTTCTACAACAGGTTGCGAATTCGGTGATCACGTTTCAAATTGTGAAATGTTAGACTGCTTTCGCTCAGATATGCAAACGAAGTGTTGTGAAACGTGTAAAATCCCGTTTACTTATACTACATCAAGTACATCAACTTCTCGTCCTTCAACAACTACACAAAGTATATCAACGTCACGTCCTACAACAACTACAAGTTAGTTATAAATTATATAAATATTCAAATATTGATAGATTAGTAGATATATTTTGTTATGTGTATATTTGAAAAAATAATATAATTTTAGATACGATAAAAAACAAATTTTTGGGTCATTATAATTAACGAGCCGACCCGCGGTGTATCATACGCCGCTATTTAGTTGTTTTTTTCTACTTTTCAGTAATTCATAATTTGTGAATTCGACAGTACCAATGCTGCCACTGAAAATATTTGCTGTAAAACACTAACCCATCCTTCCCCCCCCCCCACCCGTGAAAGCAGCCTCCTCTTAGTTACTCCTCTAAGGTTAAAATCGTTTCAAACTAAATTATCTGCCCCTAATAGCCGTCACCAAACCCGGCTCTACGGTTGTAAATATTTAGCGTGAACCACAGCTCACCAGAACATGTGAGGGGGTGGGGGTGGTAGGGGTGGTAGCGATAGAGAGGGAGAGGGGACTGCAAGGCGTGCTTGCAGCTTGTTTTCTAACGTCTCCAAGAAGAGTAATCGGTGTTTCTGTTTAGTCATTTTTAACTTTAAAAAGCACCGTTTCAGGTATTCTACCCGATATATATATATATATATATATATATATATATATATATATATATATATATATATATATATATATATATATTTATATATATATATATATATATATATATATATATATATATATATATATATATATATATATATATATATATATATATATTGGAGACAGAAGACAGAATCCTTCTATGTTTATATATTTTATTTTTATTAAACAGTCTCGACAATTTGTAAGATGAATTACTTTTAGCAAGTATTCTTGAATAATTTTTGTACACATAGTATATATCAATGGGGTCGGGGGAGAAAGATTGGGTTAGGCGTTTGCAAGTTTTTGCAGTAGTACTACAAAGTATCTCTGAGGGATTAACTTAAACTTATTTTCACTATCATAAACACCCATTCCCATACGCATACATAACCTAAAAATATTTGTATCTATGAATGTCCATGAGCATGTTCTTTCTAGTATACATTTTAAAGAGTATTAAGAGAATGTACCATGGCTAAAATTTTCTTTTACAGCAGCTGAACGATGCACTGACGATATAACATACACAAATGGTGGCAGACATTGTTCGTCCATAGCTCAGAACTCACCTTACTTGTGTTACGAGCAGGAGGTCAAGGACGCGTGCTGCATGTCATGTCAACAGGTCAACACGACCGTTGCAGGTGAGCCGGTTTTTGTTTCTTCTGCGGATGCAGGAACGGAAAACTTATTTATAATATATCTTGACCAAATAAACTTCAGATGTTTCATCTACCCTAAATTACACAGTGACCTGTAAAGGGGTCGTCCATAAATGACGTCACACTCGTAATGGGGGAGGGGGTTCCGTAATTTTTAGACGGTGTGTAATGAGGGGGGCTCAGATCGTGGGACGTCACACTTTTGCATTTTAAAAAAGCAATGTTATTAAACGTATTTTAGACGTTATTTCGCGTTTTAGAAAACTATTTTAATAAATTATAATAGGAATTGAGTATAGGCTGAGGTGTGACGTCATTTTAGGGGGGGGGGGGTCTTACTTTTGTGACGATGTGGGAGGGGAGGTAAAAATCGTCCAACATCGTGACGTCATTTATGGCTGACCCCAAAGGTTAAATGAAAGAGCTTTTTTTTCTAGGCTTTTTTCTCTCTAGTATTGGCCATAAAAATTATAAAAATTTCAGATCTTAACTAGAAAAAACTGATGGTAACAACTGTCAGTCATAACCTTATAACACATTCGGGAATCAGTACAGAAAAAACGATTATATACTGCATTTGTATTTGATATTGAACACCCGATGGAGATTAAAGATCAAACGTTTTCTGTAAATCTTTTGCCAGGATGTGAGTACGGCGACAAGGACCCATCTTGGTGTGACCTTCCTGACTCCTGCATAATGTTCCCAGACAAATGTTGCGATACTTGTTCCAAAACAGGACCCGGCATTGGTTACGAGACAACAAGTACGTACTACATCTTTAAAACAGAAGGAAAAATATTTGTTTCTTTACTAATTTTACTGTGATTTTTTAGAACATCAATAATGTGTATCCCCCCATAAAAATTGCATTTTTCCATGATAAATATTGTCATTATACGTAAGATTAAATTGGAATGTTTTGCTGTATCAAAAAATAAAATATTTTACTATAAATAATACGGGATACGGAAGCATAACAAAGACAACGCCCCTAAAGTGGGTGGTCCTGTTGGAGGTAGAGAAGATGTCTTCAATAAATTTTTCTTATTGATTGTCTATGGGCAAACTTATTGGACAAACTTATCGATTCGTTTTGTACAGTATTAATTTGGCAGTGGAAAATGTTATTGCTTGGCTATAAAAATATATTTTTAAAATATTTTTTACAATTTTTATAGCCATGGACCAGTCTCCGGAAATTTTTATTACGATTTCCGTAGATATGGACTATAGTATTAAAGATTAAATTTTCTGCCATTAACCAGTTTGTTATACAATTTTACACTAAATATCAACTGAATATAAGGTTTATATTTTATCATTTTATTTCTATATTTAACAAAGATGGGCTGTCAATATCGATATGAGCTAACGAATAAGTGGATATTGAAAACGGATAAGCTCTTAAATTACACAAAAGTTCAATAAAGTTTAAAGTATTTCTATCTGTATTTTCCTACTGTACAGCTTGTATAGACGACTCAAACTTCAGGTACAATGGAAGAAGCTGCTCGTCTGCCGTGGAGACCTTCAAAGGCAAATGTTACAACACAGACTTCCAGCAGACGTGTTGCCGCTCTTGTCTCAGTGCTAGGAATGTGTCTGCTATTGGTAGGTCCTATTGTAAATGGAAGTGTCAGAGAAACGAAAGTAAACGATAACTAATCAGATAACTATACTCTCTATTTCTCTCTATACTAGCGTGCCCGTCCTGCGCGTTGCCGCGGTCTCTGGGGAAAAGTTTTTTTTAGATTGTTTCATCAATACGTAACTAATCCTTTATTCTTAGACATGTGACCTTGTTTTCTAAAACTAAGATATTTAAATATAAACAATGCCTGCGCTATATTTCCTGGCTCATAATGTGTCGGGGCTCGGGTTTGCCCATACTATACCTCCCAGTGCGTCCCAGGGCGTGCTGCATGAAATCCTTAAGTGTCCGTTAATCAATCACCATAATAGTGAGATAGAACATACTTCGGCGACTGCCCAGATGTCAGGATGCCGCGTACGTTTCCTGGCTCGGTTAAATATCGACTGTCGTGTAACGCCGCGTCAATACTGTAGGGTAGTTTTTAAACGAACGTAGGTGCCATAGTTTACACAGGATAGCCTAAGGAGCTAAATCGCACCGTACCGGAACTACGAATAACGCGCCCGATTCGATTTTGTGAACGATTAGAATAAATAATTTTATCCATAGCCTATTGCATTATACAGAGAACTCATGGCGATCGGGTGAAAATTGTAATAATGCATGACGAACAATCCCACAAACAAACAAACAAACTTTCAATTACATATATAAATAGATAAATAAATAAATAAATAAATAAATAAATAAATAAATAAATAAATAAATAAATAAATAAATAAATAAATAAATATATATATATATATATATATATATATATATATATATATATATATATATATATATATATATATATATATATATATATATTTATATATATATATATATATATATATATATATATATATATATATATATATATATATCAGGCTGTGAGTATGGAGATAGAAATCCGTCCAAATGTTTCAACAAAAACTCATGCAAAAATTACAAAGCTGACTGCTGTGCCCATTGCAACACATCAACCAGACTACAGGTGTCGATCTTCTTAAGTGTTATGGTGTCTGCTTTGAAAATGTTCTCTATTTTGTGACTATTATAGTGTATTAAAGTTGTTGAAAAGATTTTAGTTTTAGATAAGATGTTTTGATGCTATTCTTATCAAACACAATGTCGGTGTTTCTTCCAGACTTTTTTTCCAGGGGGATCTTGATATTTTCGGGGGAGGGGGAGGAGAAGGGGGGGGGGGCGGACTAAAATTTCCAGGGGGCGGAGACACTGTTAAAAGTATATATCTTCTATATAAATTCAATTTCGTTCGGGTGGGGGAGGGGGGGAGGGGTAGAAGAGATGCCTGAAAGAAACACTGCACAGTATCTCCCAGATTATATTTAAGTTTCCTACTTAGCAACGAACTTTGTATATCTTTGTAATTTTTTCTTAAGATTTATAACATAGGCCTACACAATCTTGATTTCGTTAACAAGTTAGAAAGGGTGGGGTTTTTATGGGGAAAAAATGACTATTTTTGTTTTTAACACCCTATTAAAAATATGTTACTTAATGTAATTTTAATTTAATTTATGATATTTCAGGAGGTTGCGAGAAAGAGGTTGGGGGGGGGGGGGCAAAAACTAAATTTTAAACGAGATGGGTTGTGACTTATGTCATTTTGATGTCATTTGTCTTTTGGTTACATTTGCATATTTTCATTTATCCAGACCATAAAACATTGAAATAGATGATAATGTTTATAATACTTAAGAATAAATTGTCAACTCTTGGCTTTCATGATGAAATGAAATGTGTCGTACGCCTGTAGCTTGCCTGTCGCATACCTGTAGCGTATTATGCTTATCGAATGCCTGTCTGTAGCGGGCCTGTTGCATATTGCCTGTCGTGTGCCTGTAAAGTGCCTGTAAGTACTATGCCTTTCGAATGCCTATCTGTAGCATGCCTGTCGTGATGAGAATAATAGGCGTATGTTAAAATACTCGTTGTGAAAAGTAATTAGTTCAGTCTCCATATGTGACAGCCTTTTAACATAACCATTGCGAAAATTAATGACATTAAAATAATTTTTAATGTATATTACAGTTATATAAATAAAAAAATAATTTGGTAATCGGTGTTTCTGTTTAGTCATTTTTAACTTTAAAAATTACCGTTTCATGTATTCTACACGAATTTACACTGATATATATATATATATATATATATATATATATATATATATATATATATATATATATATATATATATGTCGACATATATATATAAAATATATATATGTGTATATTTATATATATATATATATATATATATATATATATATATATATATATATATATATATATATATATATATATATATATATATTAAAGTGTTCATTTTTGTACTGAAATCTAGATTGATGACTAAAGAGTTTGAGTTTATGTTTGCGTTTACGTTTATGTTCGCGTTTATGTTTGCATTATTTTCTGCTTCATTCTTTGCGTGTATGTTTGCGTTTATGTTAATATTTGCGTTTATGTTTATGTTTGCGTTTGAGTTTGTGTTTAGGTTTTCGTTTAAATATGCGTTGGTGTTGTTTGATTTTATGTTTGCGTTTATGTTTCCGTTTGTGTTATTGTTTAAGTCTTTGTTTGCGTTTAAATTTGTGTGTATGTTCGCGTTTATGTTTGCGATTTTTTAGCGTTTTAATAGCGTTTATGCTTGAAATTGTGTCTATGTTTGCGTTTAACTTTGTCTTTAGGCTATTGTCCATTAGGGAAAGCGGCAATCGTCCGTTCTGGAAAACGGCATTCGGACAAAAACATTCGTGAAATTTTCTTCCAGTTTCCTTTCCATGATCCGCCCTCCTTACAAAATGCGAGCTACAAACTGAGTGGATGTGACTCATGTAGTAGCTACTGTCAATTTGTCATGGCGTTCTAACTTCATTTACACAAATGTCATATTGTCATGGCATCCTAAATTCAGTTTAAAAAATGGACAGTTAAGGTTGTATAAGAAATGGTGTTCAAACACTTGCTACCGATTTAGCCCTCTTACAAAGAAACTGCACCCCTCACACCCATCAGTCTGATATCCAAAGCAGGTAATGCAATGCATCGGGGGTGGAGGCAATCAGCTGGCGGACAGTGACAGGTCTAGCAGCCGATGATGATGTGTATGTGCTGCGTGCGGTCGATCATTCATCTTGTTGACATTATTGGCGTAAAAAATGTAGACTTCACTTCTACCCTGTAGGAGGACTGTACAAATATAACATAAAGAAAAAACTAGTATTCCTATCTTACAAATCATTACACATTTGTTAATGAGTATAATACCCAACTATTTAGTTATGTTGGGTAAGGTGAAAATGATCTACTTTTGTTTTTATTTTTATCTCATTCCTTATAACGTTTACTTAAACGTTTGCAAAAAAACGTCTTCTTTTAACAAACCCAAGTTTAGACAAAATGGAAACTATCAGCTAAAAGTACTAAAAATCAGTGGCGACGCTAGGTTGGGTGTCATATATATATATATATATATATATATATATATATATATATATATATATATATATATATATATATATATATATATATATATATATATATATCATCTATCTATCTCTATCTATAATCTATATCTATCTCTAAGTTTGTTTTAAATTTTCTTATATTCGGTGCATTTAAAAGTTTGTTATTATAAAGGTTTTTATTTTTTTTTTCTAAATATAACTGAGTTTTAATTTCAGCTTTACTGCGTGTGTTTTGGTTCGTATATCGTCTAAAGAAACGTTTTCAATGTTTTCAACTGTAAAGTGTTGAGGCATTAATAATTATTCTCCACTGAAGTGAACTGAGCGTTCCATCACTCGTGAAGGTGAGAATTGTTGAAAGAAAAACCTGTTTGATTCAGCTACATTCATACCTATTTATACATGACATGACATTTCATCAGGATTGCATTTATGATTTGCTTTAAAAAGGCATAGGCCAAAGCATAGACTTATTTTTAGTTTTCTTAAATTAAAAATAAGCTTACATTTTATTATTTGTACAGCTACATTTTATCAATACTGCCTACGATATAAGAATTTGTAATTTCTTATTTTGGGCCTTCTAGGCGGGGCTCAGATTAAAATATGACTGTATTAAATACGTGTTAAATTTTTGTTTATTTGAATGGTTCGTAAAAAATGAATAGTTGAGCGGGTGTATAGACCATGCATATCGGATATTTCGTAATTCAACTGGGTACACTACATAATGAAAAAGGCGTGCCAGTGCGTAATATGCTGCATGCCCTAAAGTGATTATAAACCTTTCCGGGATTTTCAACCTGGACACAGTGTACTCGGCTTCGGAGAAGAAAGGTTTTAACGAGATAAATACGGTATTTTATTTTTCATTTTAAAACATTGTTGAATTATTTATTGTTCACATTATAAATAAAACTAAGGTTAAGCTAACATCTTTTTGGTTCAGTATCTGTCAAACTGAACCAATTTAGTTGTCTTCTAGTTTGATTACATAAACTTTTCAAGCCTATTAAAGGGTGTTAATATGCCTTGAATTTTTAAAGTCTTCTATGATTACAATTCGAAACATGACCGAAAGAAAATATAGCCATAATAAGATTAAATGCGATAGATTTACAAGCCTTTCATTCGATATTAAGCCTGGCTGAATCGGTAGAGATTAGGGTATTGCTATTTGGAGTGATTTTCGAGTTCTTAAAATTGTTTTGAATTGTTTTGAAATGTCTTCTTATACGCCGATATAAGAGCTTATTTTTATAATTGTCAGCCGATAGTATGTTATGCAGGGGTTGAAATATTGAAAATAAATTAATGAAAACTTGGGATTTTATAGTTGGACCCTGGTCTCACTTGTACCAACGCTATGAATATTTTAATAATTGTTTGGAGTTATTTGGTGTTAAGGTGATCATGAAGTGCTATTCATATAATGACCAACGCGTAGTCTAGCGGTATAGCATTATACTGCTAACTCGAAAGTGTAGAGTTCTAACGTAGGACGTCCCTGAGTCCAACAAACTCTGATGTTTACATGATTCCCGTATTTGAAACAAAGGCGGCTGACACTATTCCCTTGTATGCCGGGACTAGTGAAACATATGAACTCTACTTCATCTACTACTTTGACACGAAAGGGAAAAGATGATGAAACAATGAACACGATCGTATCAACACATTTGTATTCTTGTTCACGCTCATGCCCCTTAGAGCACAGAACCAGCGCTTTCTTTTTTGCATGATACCTTTTCAGTTCATAGCAGAGGTAGAATTGCCTTGACTTTCCCTAACGAATGGAGTGTTGTAATAAACTGTTGGTAAGCCTATGTAGTTTTATCTGCTGGTTTTAACAACACGGCTTCACTTATGCCCAAGTCTTTCAGGATAAACCTGGGACAGACTGCCCCAGACCGGGGTGCATAACCACCACCCCACCTTACCCGCACTCAAGCATTACCCGAGTTGGCCTGTAACACATAACTAAACCGTGGGATTTGAACTTTGGTGGATACACCTGTATTAGGCAAACACGCATTACACAATCCTCTATCACGTAATACACAAGTAGGTCACCTCCAGAAACGAACCAAGCGGAAAGAACGGCACACCCTTCAGGTTGATCCAACACTGAATTCTTACCTCATTGATTAATTGTAGGTAGGCACCGGACTGTACCATGATATACCGGTTGCCCTGTGTTCTGTTTGTCATCTTAAGTGTGAGCATAGGCAAGGGTCAGCCAGGTAAGGGCATCTTAGGATAAATATACTCTTAATATTCTGCTCGATATGTAAACAACTTCATATATATATATATATATATATATATATATATATATATATATATATATATATATATATATATATATATATATATATACATATATTCGTGTCGCAGTTGAGGTTAGCTACAGCAGCCAAGATGTTGAAGGTCAAATCCTACCTGACCTTGTGAACGTGACCTTGACGACAGACACCAACACGAGCCACCTGCAGCTGAGCCGTGTCGAGCACATCCACCTGGACATCCCACTGTACTCACTCAGTGTCGACTCGAATGGAACTTTTTCTCAGAGACGAGAGAGCTCACGTCACAGGAAGGTAACGCCTTCCCTAGAATTTCAGCTCTATTTAATTTCATCACAATTGTTTCATTGCAAGTTGGTAAAATCGAAAATTTAGTCAACGAATATAGAAAGAATGTCTAACAACAAAGGAGGCGAAATTGATACATAATTTAATTTAAAAAAACAAAGTAAATCACCAAAAATACAGGCAGAGATAGATAGAAGACGTGGACACAGACCTATTGCAGCTTGGAGTCTGAGTGGAAAAAAAGTGGTGAAGCAGTCAAAAGCCTTCCATGGGGTTTATTGCCAACTGGATAAATAGATAATAGCCAATTTATACTTGATTTATTTATTAAAATGCAGTGAAGGTTGAGCAATAATCCTGTTATATATATATATATATATATATATATATATATATATATATATATATATATATATATATATATGTATATATGTATATATATATATATATATATATATATATATATATATATATATATATATATATATATGAAATTGCATTTTGAACTCGGTGACTCTATGTAATGTAAGTACTAAAAAACATGCTTTGGATGTCGATTTTTTATGTGCTATTTATTTCCCAGAACGTCGGCTACTACCAGGACGCCAAAACCCAGGCCGTGTTCCAGCTGACAAGAACTAACAGTGTCAGGGAGAGGACGTCCAAGTTGTCGATAGTAAGTTTTTTAATATCCATCGTAAGTTGCGGGTTCTAGGTGCTACGATCACAGGGGCTTTGAACACAGTGCTGTTTTGAACTATAAGGTTTTTGTACGTATGTGGTATGTCCACATGTGGTTTTTTTTAATATTTATAACGAGCCGACCCGCTGCGTATCATACGCCGCTATTTAGTTGTTTTTTTTTTCTACTTTTCAGTAATTTATAATTTGTGAATTCGACAGTACCAATGCTGCCATTGAAAATATTTGCTTAAAAACACTAACCCCCCCCCCCACGTGAAAGCAGCCTCCTCTTAGTTACCTCCTCTAAGTTTAAAATCGTTTCAAACTAAATTATCTGCCCCTAATAGCCGTCACCAAACCCGTCTCTATGATTGTAAAATGTAAACAGAGTGAACACCGCTCACCAGATCATGTGGGGGTGGGGTGGGGGTGGTACGCCGCTTTTTAGTTGTTTTATTTACTACTTTTCCGTAATTCATAAGTTGAGAATTCGACAGTACCACTGCTGTCACTGAAAATATTTGCTTTAAAACAATATAAGTAAGTCGTTAAGGACGATAACCCCCCTCCTTTCCCTCATCCCCTAACCCCACCCCCCCCCCACCCCCCCCCCCCCCCCACCCACCCACCCCGTGAAAGCAGCCTCCTCTTAGCTACCTCCCCTAAGTTTAAAATCGTTTCAAACTAAATTATCTGCCCCTAATAGCCGTCACTAAACCCGGCTCTACGATAGTAAACATTTAGCATGAACCACAGCTCACCAGACTTCCTAGGAAAAGAGGGGACTGCAATGCGCGCTTACAGCTTGTTTTCTAACGTCTCCAAGAAGAGAATTATATATATAGAAGATAGATAATGTCATTTATTTTAAATTCATGTTGAATCGATACAGTTGAAATGACAAGTTCTTTTGAGTTACCATTAAAGGAAATTAACTCAAATTAAATACTTTTAAAATTTGTATCCTTTAAGTTAATCCTTAATATGCATAGATAAACCACATGTGATAAAATCCACGCTGTCATCACACCACATGTGGGCAATAACCTTCTATTGATAAGAAAAAACAACTTTTCAAAGCCCCGCTGTGGACAAACAGGAGCCTCTATGGTTATAGCACCCGAGGTCAATACTCCGCGTCAACACTAATATTATGGCATTGCTTTTAATAAAAGGTCATAGGCCATCTGACAAGCCTAGTCAAGCAATGTATAAGTGATATGCTTACATAAAATTGAGAATGGTACATTTTTAAAATATACACTAAAATAATGCTAGTTTTATTATTGTTTATAAAAAAATTTCATTCTATTGAAATGCAAAGCCCCTGCAGTAGCTTTAGTAATTTGTGTGGATTCCTTGAACTTCTACAACATCAGAACCAAACACAAACTAATCTTCTTCTTTCATCGCCTTATTTTTGCCAACGCTTTCTAACTTACTTCTGTCTTAGGTTATACCATATGCAGGTAAAGTATACATTTGTTATTGTTCTAGAAAACTTTTTTTTCTCTATTGGAAGTTACCCTCTTCTTTTTTTTTTTTTAAATTTAAATATTCACTTTTTATTATTTGTTTTAGAATTAATCATGGAAGTGTGTTATTCTTTGCAAACCGAACACTAATTCCATCATAAGCACTAACATGATCTAGCATTTAAAAATTTAATCTGATTAATATAAGCTAATGGTGAAAATAGACAAAAATAGACAAATATTTAAAATAAGTCATTTTCAATATTGAAAAATAATTTTTGAAGTTTTGTTCATAAATGTAACTATTTATTTTTAACTTTAAAAATATTTAAAAAAAACACAAATAATTTAAATAATTTTTTTTACAGATGGGAGAATTCAAACAAAACAACCAGAAATACTTCCTCAAGCCGGAAGTGACGTCAACAGATCAAGCAACAACCACGACAAGTTCTCCCCTAGCTAGTGTCGTGTACACGATAAAACGAAGCAAAAAACAACCCTCTAATTTGATGGACTACGCTATACCCCGTATGTACAAGTTGATGAGATATGGACTGAATCGATATTGTATAATAAAAAAAAAATTAGAGCTACCTTTATAAAAAAAAAAACAAGCTTTCAAACGCACTGAAAATAATAAAATAAAAATAATTTGCTTTTTTTAATGAAAACTTTGGTTTCTGAAATATAAAAGAGATCTCATAATTAAAAGTAGAGATATTTTTTCTTCATTTTCAGTGCAGTTAGAAGCTTACTGTTATAAACATTTGTTCTGTTGTCCACTTTTGTTTAGTGATTTGTTTCAACTAAAGTTGATACCACATAGCCTACAACCAAATCTGGTATTTTTTTATGAAATTTCAATGACTAATCTAGATTAAGGGACGGAGTGGCCTAGCGGTAGAGAGCTGGACTGCTCGAGTTCGAATCCGGGTTCAAGTCAGTATACCGTCCCTGAGTCCACCCAACTCTGATGGGTAACTAACTCACGTTAGAGAAAGTAAAGGCGGCTGGGCATAGTGCTGACCACACTATCTCTTCATATGCCGAGGTCACAGAAACAAGTGAACTTTACTTCACTTGCCCTATAGACCGTCAGGTTTGAAAAGGAACTTTAATCTAGATTAAAATTAGATATGCTTCAATTGTCATCGAAGACAAACCGATCTGGTAATTCTGAACGAAATCGTTATTTTAAAAGTGGGTCTACATTGAGTTACAAGGTTTGCAACAAACCACAAAAATTCAAACCAATAAATAAACTTTGTGAATAAAATAAAAGCTTATTAAATTATTTTTTTTTATTAACAATGTGTTACTTTATTGGATAGATAATGAAACTGTAATAAATGACAAAATTTTAACATTTCTATTATATTTACCAAACATTTTTATTTTAAATTATCCCCTTACATGTTGAAACAAATGTATTTTCAGTTCGAGGGCCGCATTAACTATCAAATTTCAGTTCGGGAGCCAGTTTCTTCTAGGCATGTCTTTGATTTTTCCAGGCAAAGTTCCTCACCAACAAACGTTTTTTTCCGTGGACAAAAAGATCTCCGCGGGCCGGATGAGAGGACCTCGCGGGCCGTAGTTTGGAGACCCCTGATGTAACACAACCGTTAAAAACCCGAGCACCCGGAATTAAATTACAACGAGTTATCTCCCCCTGATCTCAAGACGTATTTTATGTATGTTTTTTTGTATGATCTTTACAAACAGCGCCGGAATCTCCTTTGAAGAGACGACGATACAATCAACCCTCGAACGTCACCTGGGACCATTCCCCTCCACCCAAGCGTGGCAGACGAGGGGTCGACTCGACCTATTACATTGACGTCATAGCTGTCATCGATTTTGCTGCATACAATCTTTTTTACCAGAGGTATTACAACAGGACAAAAGCTATGGAGGACATACACGAATATTATGCCTACACCTTCAGTGCGGTAAGATCTATAAATACATTTAACTTCGTCATTAATAAGTTCACTGATCCCAAAATAGTGGCAGGCATATTTAAAAGAAAGATTTCGATGGATTAGTAATCAAGACAGAAGGATAAACAACAAAGTGAACAGGGCATTACCCCTCCCCCCGTCAATTACCCCCCCCCCCCCCGGACATTTCCCCTCCGTCATTACCCCGAAGTAATTACACCCCCTGTCAATTACCCCCTGTCAATTACCCCCCGCCCAGTAGGACATTTCCCACCGGTCATAGCTTAAGGTTCAGCTAGAGTTAGAGCTAGGGTTAGAGTTTGGGCTAGGGCTAGGGTTAAGGTTAGGGCTAGTTTTGGGTTAGGGTCTCCGGTTAGGGTTAGGGTTAGGGTTAGATTTAAAGCTAGGGGTAAATGTGGGGAAAATGTCCGGGGGGGGAATGTCCGGCAGGTAACGTCCTTTAGTCATAGAGTCTATAACCAAAACCGTAAAGGGGATTTTTTTTTAAAGCAACATAAATAGATAATGTGGAAACATACCTATACAACAAACCTTGAGAACAGACAATGAAGAAGCCAGCAGCAAAGTCTGATTGAAAACATGTGGTCAAGTAGGTTTAATTTCTCCTTGATCTATAGATTCTCGGAGCTGTGTGAATTTATTACCGGGAATATAAGTACTAAAATGTACTCCCTAAAATACATGCCCATTATTTAAATAAATGTTTCTTTAAACTAAGGCAATTTTGCTTGTACCCTCTACAGATAGACCTGCTGTACCAGGGTATAACCTCAGTACCATACAAGATCAGAGTTCGTTTAAACAAGATCTTTGTAGCTGAAGTAAGCAGATTGCAACTGTTTTGGAATAATATCACACATACACACACGCACGCACAAACACACACACACCATATATATATATATATATATATATATATATATATATATATTCAATATACACTTGTAAGTATGTGTATACGTATTTACGTATGTGTATACGTATTCAAATATTTTTTTTCTGGATGTATTTAATTTTTTACCCCCACCACATACATGGATTAACATATAGGTTATTACGATTCTCAAACAAACCGTTTTCTCAGGCGTATTTTGCAACGTTGAGTTGATGTAAATCCCCACCCCCACCCCCCACCCCCATGTGTTTGCTTTAAACCGTACTGAGATAAAGCTAACGATTTTTATCTATATTCGGTTATAAATACAGCTTGATGTAGCACGTTTTCTCTAACATTAGCAGGTTTACATACGTCTTGGTGTCACCCTCCCCCCCTAAATGGTGGTACCGGGTGTAGTTCGCCCCCCCCCCCTCTTTGCTACGCCTCTGCTAAATTTACCTCCCGTGGAAGACGATAACTGGAGTACTGTTTCGTTTAGGTAGACGAAAGTCATATATAAGTATACAATCTTATAATTGGATAACTTTAAATTTTTAATTGAGCTTCGATATCCGAAAGTGTTTTTCTCTATTTCTAAATTCTAAAGTACCTACAACTGTAATACCGTTTCACTAAAGTGGTCGAAATTTCCCATAACATCTTATTCACTGGTCTCTGTCAAATATTTTGAGTGATTTCCGGTGACTGGAAGACGTACTTGGAAGATGTTTCAATTTTAAAAAAAAAAAAACCAAAAAATATGAATTTGTTTATCTTGATTGATGGCAGAAACTTGCGATCAAAATTTCGACCTCTACTACCGGACTGATTTTTTTCAAACATTTCACGTTGGTCAAGACTCGATGACAATGCATTGTGACATAAAATGTGACTTTGTAAGATGTTTGATAAACTTTTAAAAAAACGAATCGTTTTCTTTGTAAAGTACTTAATTTCCTCTCGGTTTTACACATGTTTTTGCGCTCATTTTCTGCGCTATTATCTTTACTGATTGAATTCCATTTTAAGTGCCATCCCCTTTACTGCTCTATAAGTAAGTATGTACTAGACAGTTTAGGGGAGATCACTCCCGCTTTATTAATTTCACAAAGTTCACTTTTTTTTTCTAAACCCCTTCCACCTGTATTTCCATCCCTCCCCATCCTTCCGTAGACATCGTCGTCTTCAAATTTTACAACTGACTACGCTACTCAAAGAATGTTGGACGCTGACGATAGTTTGGGGGCGTTTAATTCCTTTGCTGGCAAAAGTGATTTGCTCCATGCGTACGATCATGCCATGCTGTTCACTGGGTTTGTGCATTTGCATCACTAATTGAGGGTTTTTCTTTGATATAATATGAAACAGAAACGGTAGAAGATGGTTTATCATTCATTTTGAGATGTTGAATAAGTCGAGAGTTAGAAGGGAAAAAATACTGAATCAGTAAGACTTCATTGCGATTATTTTGTGTGTGGGGGGAATGTTGGGTGGGGGAGATTTGAAGGGAGGTTACTTAAATGTTTTATACTATGGGAGTGGCATTCTATGTCAAAGTTACAAAAGACAACTGTTTTTATTTATTTTGCAGATTCAATTTAAGTACTAAAGACTCAGGCCCTAATGTTGTAGGTTTGTATAGACTCGTCTTTGTGCTACACACCACTGAGTTCTTTTGTTAGCTGTATTTAAAAAAATATATATCTTTTTTTAAAGTGTTTATCTGATGTAAAAAAAAATGTAAAATATTTGAATCAGGCAGAAAAGGTAGAGTTAAATTATTTTAATAATTCTTGGTATAAAAATGGATAAGGTTGGCATTACTATGACAGACCGCTTGTACTTTCCTTAAAGATAGTCAGTACCCATCAGAGCAGGATGGACTTTGTTCCGAACTCCAGCCTTATTATAAAGCTGTTATACGATAAACAATACGACTACGCCGCCCAAATGTAAATCTGATGCAATCAAGCAGATTTTTTACGGTACTAAGTGGAGAAATTCTCGAGTCTTTAATGGCAATATTATATTTCAGATAACCAAATTAATATATAAAGAAAAAGTAGAAGTATTTAGATTCAAAAATGAAAGATACAGCATTACAATGTTTACTTAATTTTTGTTTTTACAAATTCACCATCTATTTTTAAAAACTAAGCTTTTACTTTATTTCATTGGAGAATTTATTTTTCTAGCCCTAACCTTACCAACTCCTTTTCTAAATCGAGGAAACATCAAAATCTACCGTGCATGCGCTTTCATTAAATGCCGCTTACGTTATGTCACCAGGTTATGCTTATATTGGTGGCATGTGTCGGACTGACGGCTCTAGCACGTCCATCATTGAGGACATGGCGGACTATCAGGCCAGCAACACAGCTGCCCATGAACTGGGACACAGGTAAACACCGAACAATGTACGCTTTATTATATAACTCGATAATTGGAAATCATGGCATAACATAGTAGAGGTTGTTGACAAACTAACACTCAAAAAGAACGGGATCATTAATTAATTACATACCCATTAAAGGGAATTTCGTCACAACATACACCCAGAGGCGTAGCGACCCTTCCCGGCGCCCGGGGACATACTTTCAATTTGGCGCCCCCTTGGGAGCAAATTTTCGATTTGCACCCCCCCTCGAACTTTTCATTTGCACCCCCCCCCCTCAAACTTTCGATTTGCACCCCCACCTCGAACTTTTCATTTGCACCCCCTTTCAAACTTTCAATTTGGCGCCCCCCTAAGGTCGGCGCCCGGGGACATATGTCCCCCCCCCCCGCCCCCCCCTCGCTACGCTACTGCATACACCATAATACAATCTTATCTTAAATTGCCATAGACTACTACATCAGCGCGTGTTATACACAATCTCCAAAAATTAACCTCGGCCTTTACAACAACGTGAGATATTGTTCTATCATAGAGGCGGATAGATGTTTTATTTCTATTTATAATAACAATAATAACTGTAATATATAAACAGCAGTCTGTGGGCGAGTGTGTTGACAAATCTTAAAACTCAGTTATGAACGATTTTAATTTTCGATGACAACGCAATAATATCTATAATTTCCTATTTAATTAAATAAATAAAAAAATTATTTACTACAGTTTATACATTACAAATTTCAATACAAAATGTAAATAACTTATATCGATCAATCGATTTCTACGTGAAGCTAAATTTCTTAAAACCATTTTCAGAGCAATCAATGCATTAATTTTTAGTAGTGTAGGTATAGGAAAAAGCCTGCTTATTTTACTGTATTAAATGTTATTACACGATTTTCATACTAAATTTAAACCATGCATTGATCATGTAAATACGCACCCAAAATAAAAGTTTCAACAGTTGTCATACCATTTCAGCCTCTCAGCCCAACATGACGGTGATAAAAACGAGTGCAGTGGCATTTTTCGTTACATTATGGCGGCGTCCGTACTTTCTAAAGAGACGCCTGCTACCGCGTACAACCCTTGGCAGTTTTCATCATGCAGCATCCAATACTTCACGAGTTTCATAGAGGAACAGCTGAAAACAATGTATTTACAGATATGCCTTTGATTGTTTCCTACCTATCACATATATTGTATATATATATATATATATATATATATATATATATATATATATATATATATATATATATATATATATATATATATATGTATATATATATATATATATATATACGAGCTTACCCGTGCCGTAAGCATACGCCGCTATTTAGTTGTTTTATTTTCTACTTATTAACAATTCATAATTTGTTAATTCGTGGTTGGGATGAGGGTGGTGGCTAAGCTGCGTGGTCTCCATGAAGAGAATTATATATATATATATATATATATATATATATATATATATATATATATATATATATATATATATATATATATATATATATATATATATATATGTATATATATATATGTATATGTATATATATATATATATATCAGGCATTTCAAACTTATTGACTAATTATATTTATTTGTATAGAAGAGGCTACTACTGCTTGACTAAAGCGATTCCCATCGAACAAGATATTCCTTACGCAGGAGACCAGTTTCCGGGACAAGTGTACTCCCCTGATCAACAGTGTCAAATGGTCTACGGTTCTGGATCTTTCTTTTGTCGTGTAAGTAGGGTCAACCGTTTTCAATATCTCAATTTGATTTGACATACAATTTTAAGAGATAATTCAATTTTAACTCAAATAAAAATTTGACAAATATTTGTTTAAATATTAAAGCTAGTACACTAGGTCGGGTGTCAACCGAGGCGGTTCGTACCCTAGAATCAGATCTGTGATGCTGGTGGTGTGAAATATCTATAACATCAAAGTTTAAAAAGTTACTTTACGGTGTGATACTTTCCGTCTATATTTCTACTTATCACGCATAGTTCTGCGTGGTTTTTAAATCAATAGGGAGTCTTTCTATTTGATTATGTTTGTTTCTTTACAAAGAAAATGTCTATATTAAAATATTATTTAGATATCCTTAAAACACTTTAGGTTTATGTTCAACTCCCATAAATGTGTTTGCAATATACCTGGTAAGCAAACTATATCTAAGCAAGACACCAATGTGTTCATGTACAACAATAAAAACAGCAACAGTAACAACAAATGTGTTCAAAACATACCTGGCCAGCAAACTATATGTAGGCAAGGGGTGATCCATAAATGACGTCACGCTTTTTTTTGAAGATTTTTACCTCCCCTACTCCCCTCCGTCACACATCGTCACAAAAAGCCAGAACACCCCAAAAATGACGTCACATCTCAGTCTACATCCCCCCTCTCAAAATTGCAGTTGAATTTTTCTTAAAACTTTGTTGTTGTTTTTTTTTCAAAACTTTGTCTGAACTCTGTCAAAATAGAGTATTTTAATCAATTTCTATTAAAACAGCTTTCTAAAACGCGAAATAACGACTAAAATTCGTTTTCTAACAGTGCTTTTTTATAATGCAATAGTGTGACGTCGAACGACCTGAACAACCCCCCCCCCCCGTCACAAAATTACAGACCCCCCCTCCCCCCTACGAGTGTGACGTCATTTATGGACGACCCCCCAAAACACCAATTTGTTCATGTACAACAATAAAAACAGCAACGGTAACAAAACTGTGTTCAAAACATACCTGACCAGCAAACTATATGTAGCCAAGACACCAATTCGTTCATGTACAACAATAAAACAACAATAGCAACAACAAATGTGTTTTTCGCCTGGTTACACAGAACTTGTATGTGAATAACACAGAGAGCATATGTCACCAAACCTACTGCGCTGATCCAGAGGATACAGATACGTGTTATGTGTCAGGAAATATCTTTGCTGTTAGAGGAACTACCTGTGGGAACGGAAAGGTGAGTTATCTACATACAGCGTCACATACAAGTAGGAACTAATAAAATACAAATTTTAACGCAAGGGAATTTCAGGTATTATTTTACCTGCTGAAATTAACTCAATTTTTACTTTCTCGTATACAGAGTAATGAGAAAGTATTGTAATCGTGTACAAAAATCACATGAAATTTGAGTTTCCACCGTTTTACTTCTCAGTACGTCATCATAAACGGAGTAAAGGGGACTTATTTTAATCGGGCAAAATTCGAAATACAGATGTATTAAAAATGTCGGCGTTTTACGCGTAATCGAGTCGAAGAACTGGACTTTGCAATTTGTCCGGATGTGTGGATGTGTGTCTGTAAACACGATAACTTGAGTACCGTTACAGCTAGGTTGATGAAATTTTATATATAAGTATAAGTATTTTATATATATATAAGTATTATATCATATTTGTTGATCAGTATAAACTTTTCAGCGATTTCAAATAACCAGAAGTGGAACTTTTTCTACTTTGAATTTTTAAAAAGCCTATAACTTGAGTACCTTTTCAGATAGATAAATGAAATTTCACTTACAAGTAAAAGGTATAATTCTCTGCCTTCTCTTAAATTTTGAGTTATTTCAGTCGACCGGAAGTAGTAATTTACGCTATTTCCGATTTCTCAAAAAATGCATGTGAATTTATAAAGTACTAATAATATCCCGCACTATTATGCTCATTTTGTTTGGCGTTCACTTGGTGTGCAATTCTTTTTTCTACGAGATTCTATTCTATTTTTAAAAGTTTAAGTGATTAAAAATGGTTTAAAATATTGTCTATATCCCGAGCTGCCATCCCCCGTAGTGTTATATAAGAATATTCTAGGGGAGATCACTCCCGGTTTATTTTAAATTTAAAACAAAACTTCATTATAGCTTCTTTTAATGATTTTAAAAATTTATTTAACCTTTTAACAGATTTGCGTTAACGGCCATTGTGTCGCCCACGTAAAGGCCCCGCAAGCTGACGGTATGTCAAAAGTTTGTTTTAAGTTGTTGTGTCTAGGGTGTGTTTAATTAACTAATTAAGTGACATTTTTTTTTTTTTTTTTTCAAAACACCTTTACATCTATTTCAAAAAGCAAACTTATTTTAATCAATTAAAATATCTAGATGGTATTTAATTTAGATTTAATAGTACAGTTGAAAGAGAAATATCAAATTATTTTTTGAAATTTGTAGCTATTTACCGTAATATTTTCATTAAAACATTAGATTCTTTCTATCATTTTTCAAAGTCGAATATTTTATGTATGTCGAATTATGTTATCTATGCCGAGTTGGTTGTATCACTAGGGAGGGTGATACACTGTGTGGTTGCCCATTTGGCAACCACACATTCTGCCGACGACTACAAGTTTGATGTACTAAAACTAAAGGCAATTTGGTCTCACGTCCATATTTTACATTAAAAAAATAATATTTCTGAGTAAAATTATATATATTTCGTATGTCACCCTCTTGGGTGGTGCACCAAGCGTAGAGAAGTGACTGGTATACGACAGTATAGTAATTAATGGTATCCTTATAAAAACTGGATATCTGTTTATTTTAAATATTCATGGGCGTAGGACTGTCCGTTTGAACATCTCTTGACATCTGGCTGGACATAAGAATACGTCCCATAATTATAAATAGTAACCCGCTTATTTTTTTCTATATTTTTATAACATTTTACAGATATGCTCGGATATTTCTTATTTGTAGAGACGTACTCGCATATTTCTTGGTATATTTTAATTTTTATAGCATTTAATTGTAGAGACGTGCTCGCATATTTCTTGGTATATTTCTTCTAATCTTTATTCCTTTTTGTTTTATAGAGACGTGTTTGTACGGTGACCAGCCTGGACAATTTGGAAATTTCTCGTCATGTCAAGCATTTGTGGACGACTTTATCGGCTATTGTTACCGAGACGACTTAAGGGCAGCCTGCTGTGCTTCCTGCATAGCTGTGAGAAAAAACATTCAAGGTAATGTTGTGTCTTAGTTTGAGTGTGAATCTGGCAATAAAACATAATTATTCTTATGACAAAGTAATTATAATAGTTTTGAGTCTTAGTGTAGCGCATAGTAATTTTGTTGTACCATAATAATTGTTATAATTGTGGGTCAGAATGTAAATCGTCATTAATGTCAATGCCTCTTCCCTCCCAATGTCATATGTTAATCGATGGTCAGGGTAATACCTGGCCGGAACCGCAGGTCTATCTAAACGTTCGTTTGTTAATATTAATCTCTAAACATTGTTTTTAACGATATTATTTTCTTTAAAAAGTGGCATAGATCAAGCTCAACAGTAATTTTAGCAAATGTATTTCAAGTTTTAAAATTACATTATTCTACAGATTGTGAGAATGACGATTATTATAGCGATTGTGAGGTATCGTCTTGCTTGAACGCAACATTGAAAACACAATGTTGCAAAACATGTAACGTTGGTGTCCCATACACGACACAAACTACGAAAATGACACCAAAAACCACCGCAGGTTAGAAAAAAAATTTTGTGTTGGAGTTAGTAAAAGAATGATCAATGATTATGACCAATATATGATAGTTCCAAACCGCAAAACGTTGAGTTTTTTTCCAAAATTTTTCAAGATTATAGCAACCATACTTACAAAAGAGACACAAACGCATGAAAATACTTATATAGATACACAAATAAATAAATAAAGCTTGTTTATGTTTGCGTTTGCGTTGTGTTTACGTTTGTGTTTACGTTTGCGTTGTGTTTATGTTTGCGTGTTGCGTTTGTGTTTTCATTTGTGTTTACGTTTGTGTTGGCGTTTGAGCTCTGTTTGCAATTTTGTTTGAGTTTGCGTTTGTTTCTTCTTTTGTGTTTTATTGTGTTTCGTTTACGTTTGTGTAGCGTTGTGTTTGCATTGTGTTTGTTGTTTGTGGTTGCGTTTGTATTTAGTTTTGATCTGTTCTCAAGTTGGTACATTTAAAAAAGATTCACTGTCGCGAAGAACTACGGGTATGCAGCTAGTATATTTATATATATAAATATATATATATATATATATATATATATATATATATATATATATATATATATATATATACATATATATATATATATATATATATATATATATATATATATATATATATATATATATATATATATATATATATATATATATATATATATATATATATATATATTTATTTATATATATATATTCGACGGACACGTTTTTAAAAATGTGTTTGTTTGAACTAGATAATCAGTGAGGATGATTACTATTTTTCAGCCAAAATATGTGTAGATGATCCAACATTCACTTATAGAGATGGACAATGTGAGTCCCTAGTACAGAACTATCCTAGCATGTGTGACGAGGTGGAGGTCAAGCGCGCGTGTTGCGTATCTTGTCAAAAGGTCAACACTACAGCTGATGGTGAGTACTTGGTACCACATATCTTAATGATACCAAAACATTTTTGGAGTCTTGACAACATCTTTTTAAAGGTTTTAAAATTATACTAAGCGGTAACTGAAATGTCGCGAATCATCTAAACTGATGTTAATATGAGGAATGCAATAATAATTAATGTTAACAATATATTTTACCCATTTGAATTAATATGCAATGTTGTAAACTACATATTTTTCCTAATGCTATAATTGTTTAAGTTTATGTTTTATCCAGTCCCCAGGATGAATTCCATAATAATTAATGTCAACTTTATATTTTCCAAACGCAATAATAGTGAATTTAAGTATATACTTTATACACTCAACAACTGATACAATTAATCCATGTTGCCCCACTGTACAGCTTGTCTAGACGACACTGAGTACCGGTACAACGGACAAACATGTTCCTCTGCTGTACGCAAGTCCCGCGCCCTATGCAAGGACTGGGACTTTGAGCGGATCTGCTGCAAATCTTGTCTCAATGTATCTTGGGGCAGCAAGTTACAGGTTCCTGTTCTTCTGGCACTGATGATCACTTCTTTGGCTGTATGCGTCCTTATACAATAAAATATTACTTAAGCATTTCTGCAGTACCGCTCGATTTGTTTGCTTAACTATTCAAAATATTTATTTTTTTACATTATGTTAAATTAAAAGAAATGACAATATACGTGTTTTTTTAAAATTCATTTATGATTTGGTTTTATTGTTTTGTATGAACGCTATTGTTTGTTATTCTGTTAAGTGAAGTTGGTTAGCGGATTAGGTTGGCGCTGCTCATTTAGTTACTTTTTAAACCTGGCGGTCCATATCTCAGACATAGTAGAGTTTATGTGACCCTTGCATATGAAAGGTTAATGATTACTTTATCTACAAGATGGGTGGACTTATTTTAAGCAAAACATCAATATTAATAATAATCATATTGAATAGATGGATGGATGGATAGATGGATGGATGGATGGATGGATGGATGGATGGATGGATGGATGGATGGATGGATGGATGGATGGATGGATGGATGGATGGATGGATGGATGGATGGATGGATGGATGGATGGATGGACGGACGGACGGACGGACGGACGGACGGACGGACGGACGGACGGACGGACGGACGGACGGACGGACGGACGGATGGACGGATGGACGGATGGACGGATGGACGGATGGACGGATGGACGGATGGACGGATGGACGGATGGACGGATGGACGGATGGACGGATGGACGGATGGACGGATGGATGGATGGATGGATGGATGGATGGATGGATGGATGGATGGATGGATGTATGGATGGATGGATGGATGGATGGATGGATGGATGGATGGATGGATGGATGGATGGATGGATGGATGGATGGATGGATGGATGGATGGATGGATGGATGGATGGATGAATGGATGGGTGGATGGGTGGATGGGTGGGTGGGTGGGTGGGTGGGTGGGTGGGTGGGTGGGTGGGTGGGTGGGTGGGTGGGTGGGTGGGTGGTTGGGTGGGTGGGTGGGTGGGTGGGTGGTTGGGTGTGTGGGTTGGTTGGTTTGGAAGGATTATTTATTTATTAAATCATTATTGGTAGAGTAATATTTTTTAAAGTGACAGTAATCATATTTAAGGCCAAGTCGAGGTAGGTTTAAGTAATAATACTGTAATACGCTTCCATAAGATTGACGATGGTAATTTTTTTAAAAGTTAACTCGATATTATCTTAAGAGACTTAAATGATTCCGTTTAAAACCCGTCTATTAAATGGTCATTATGTTGTTTTTTAAAGTAATTTGTATTAGTTTGACCAAGCAAATTCTTTACATTTCGAAGCGTACGTCTTGATACGTAGATTTATATAATCCAGATTTAAATCAAATTTGAATGAAATAGCTAATGGACACCAGCGAGTTGACGAGATTTCTTCCATAATGTTGTTGACATGGAATAAAAACGTGCTTTTTAGATTTAGACCGTAAAAAAAAATAAAAAATAAAAAACTAAAGCCAAAAATTAATTTAGAAATTTTATATTTTTAGAATAAATGCTATAAAAGTTGCAAATCCAGAGAACTTGAAAATAATTTGTTGAGTTTAAGGCTACATTTCTATTTATTTTCATCAAGCCTAAGTTATAACCGGATGTTTCACTTTCGTAAGACAAATATTGATTGGCTGTACAGTAACTTAGTGATCGATAACTATTTGTTTACAGAACTTTGCAGATCAAGTTTTTAAATAACAATGCAAATTTTAAACCCCATGACCTAGTTTTCTATTTTTAGCTTACAATGTGTACAGTAAAATTTATGGCGGCCTATTCAATAGCAGGATGCCGGTGTTTTTAAAAGATAAGAAACATATTTTTGAATGTGGGGTCTGTTTTTTGTGACGATAAGTGACACTGCAGTAGCGTAGCGAGGAGGGGGGGGGGCGGGAGGGGAGGCGGGGGGGGGGAAGGGGAGGCGGGGGGAGGTGGAGGGGGAAGGGGGGCGGGGGAGACATATGTTGGGGCGCCAAAATGGTTTGGAAAAATAAATTGAAAGGTTGAGGGGGGTTCAAATCGTAAGTTTGAGTGGGGGGGGGGGGGGTTGCACATCAAAAGTTTGAGCGGGGGGGGGGGTTGAAAATCGAAATCTTGGGGGGGGGGGGGGGGTTAAAATCGAAAAGTTTGTCCCCGGGCGCCGGGAAGGGTCGCTATGCCTCTGAGTGACAGACGTGATGTTTTTTGATGGATGACCCCCGAAACCCACAGTTATCCAACGGATGACGGGTATTCTAGTATATTCTGAAATCGGAAGATGACGCCATTAGTGTTGTGTTCTTTCCGTAGTTTAAACATAAAGCATGTGACAACATTGTTTATTGCGTTCTCGTCACAACTATAAACACTTTTCCGGTTTCATAATTATATTTTTTTTAAATTTAGTTCATACATTTAAAACATCTAACATATTATTTTCAACAACAGTCCGTATCAAGTTCTCCATATATTGCTGAATATACTGAAATCATAGCCTCTAAAAATATTTTGCGGACAGAGATAGAAATAGAGAGAAGTGTTCACATGGTTTTTTATGTATTATTATGATATCTATATATATCTATATATATAAAGCAAAGTGGTCATGTGCCCGATAGGACACTTCCCGGCGCCGCAGGCGCGCCAAATTTGGCACGATGGTGCCTTGGTGCGATAGAACACGAAGGCCTGTGAAGGTTTGCCGAAAAGTCTACGGACAGGGGGTCAAAACTGACCTCGACTGACCAGCGCCTTATATGGGCTATATTACGAAAAAAAATTTCCTCCGACGACCCCCCTTGATATTTTGTGAGGTGGTAGAAGAAAACCTAGGGGTGTCACAAAAAACTCGTTATTTCTGGGAAAACTTCGTAAAGGGGTCAAAACTGACCAGTTGTATTTCCCTATATAATCTTTGTATTTTATGGGAAAAACAGATTGTCATTTCAACGCAGACTTTAGGGTACTTAAACTCAGTATATCTGGCTAATTTTTTGCATACTTTTAGGTCAATGGCTTGACCTTTAGGGAAAATTGTCGGTTTCACTCAAAGCCCTCGAAGAGTGCTAAATAAATGACCGCGAGTGAAGTTCTCTTTATATGAGCTCTATTACGGAAAAAAATTTCCTCTGACGACCCCCCTTGATATTTTGTGAGGTGGTAGAAGAACACCTAGGGGTGTCACAAAAAACTCGGCATGTCTGGGAAAACTTCGTAAAGGGGTCAAAACTGACCAGTTGTATTTCCCAATATAATCTTTGTATTTTATGGGAAAAACAGAGGGTCATTTCAAAACGCATTTTAGGGCACTTATCCTCTTTACATCTGGCTAAGTTTTGGCATGCTTATAGGTAAATGGCTTGGCCGTAGGGCAGACGTGTCGATTTCACTAAAAGCCCTCGACGAGGGCTAAAACGTAACCGCGAGTGAAATTCTCTTTATATGAGCTCTATTACGGAATTTTTTTTCCTCCGACAACCCCCCTTGATATTTTGTGAGGTGGTAGGAGAACGCCTTGGGGTGTCACAAAAAACTCGCCATGTCCGGGAAAAATCGGGAAATGGGTCAAAACTGACCAGTCGTATTTCCCTATATAATCTTTGTATTTTATGGAAAAAACAGAGGGTGATTTCAAAACGGATTTTAGGGCACTTATCCTCTCTACATCTGGCTAATTTTTGGCACGCTTATAGGTAAATGGCTTGGCCGTAGGGCAGACCTGTCGGTTTCACTCAAAGCTCTCGAAGAGGGCTAAAAAGTGACCGCGAGTGAAATTCTCATAATATGAGCTCTATTACGAAAAAAAATTTCCTCAGACGACCCCCTTGAAATTTTGTGAGGTGGTAGAAGAACGCCTAGGGGTGTCACAAAAAACTCGGCATATCTGGGGAAAATTCTTAAAGGGGTTAAAACTGACCAGTTGTATTTCCCTATATAATCTTTGTATTTTATGGCAAAAACCGGGAAATTTTAACACAATTTTTAGTTTACTTAACGTCTGTACATCATGCTAAGTTTTTGCATACACTACTATAGATGACTAGGCCGTATGGAAAAACTGTTGGTCAGACTCAAAGCCCTCGACGAGGGCTAAAAGATGATCGTGAGTGAAATTCTCCTTATATGAGATATATATATAAATTGACGAACGATCCCCTTAATATTATGTGACGTCGTATACCGACCCTGGAGGGTAACAAAAAAAACTTTATTCCCGTCGGAAACAGCCATTATAGTCGTTAAATATGTTCATATACCGTAATTTCTTATATAAGCATAGCAACTGTTTGTAAAAAAAAGTAAACAAAGACATACGTCATACGTTCAGTTTTCAAGGGAGGTAACGTTTTTAAAATTATTATTTTTCAAATAATTTTATACTATTTTAAACAGAAACAGAAAATGACGAAGTATAGCATTTGTTTTAGTACAAAATTAAGTTTTTAATTTAGTTACGTATCCGAATTAAATAGATAAATAAATTTCAAAAGGCAAAGTAATATAAACTATGAGATATACTGTTCATGGAACCTGTGTAGTTCTAATTCCATTTTAGTTATACATAGCGTAATTTCCAATATTTTTCTGAGAACGGAATTTAAATGACAAACAAAAACATTTTTTCTAAAGTTAGCATTACTGTTTAAATGAAAGCACTCAACACCCAATCCATCGCTAAATAATTAATTATTCAAATTCTCAATTTTTTTTTAAAAAACCTAAGCGAAGCTAGGCAGTATGCCTTGTATATATATATATATATATATATATATATATATATATATATATATATATATATATATATATATATATATAATATATATATATATATATATATATATATATATATATATATATATATATATATATATATATATATATATATATATATATTAGATGCATACTCGTGCTTCGCCACGGTGAATCTCAGAAAAAAAAACCCAGACACAAACACAAAAGAAAACTCAAACGCAAATAGAAACTCAGAGGAACATTCAACGCTAACGTAAAACGCAAACACAAATACAAAAAAAGAAAAGAAAACACAAACGCAAACAAACGCAAACTCAAACAAAAACGCATGCACAAAGCAAAACGCTAAACGCAAACACAAACGACCCACGCAAACGCAA